GGGACTTGAGTTGGGGTCCTCTTTCTGGGTCCTTACAAGACACGGGTTCTTGTGTTCTCCAGGCCCTCAGAAGTTGGAGTCAAGCAATTTTATTTTCTGGAAGAAATGGAAATTAAGGTCTTGCTCAAATTCTGCTGGAATATACAGGCGGCATAGCAGCTGCAGTTGCTTTCGGGTCTCTAACGGACTCGGGTAGGAGGTAATAGCGCCACCCTCTTAGTAAAAAGTCCCGGCAGGCTGAGAGTTGTGAGCCTTAGCTAACTTCAGAAGCCTTCTAGCTCAGAGGGGGTATGGACAAGCCTTCCAGCTGGCCTAGGCTGCCAGCCTGTCAAAAGAGAAGGTGGGGGAGGGGACAGGGGTAAGACCCGGTGCAGTCCACCCAAAAGACAGCTGGCGGGCGGCAGGTGGGTGGAGGTTATCGGGTCACCCCCTCCTCCTTCTCCCGCCCGAAGCACCAGAAGAAACTGTTCCCTTTTATTGTCTTTGCCACTGGTTGTTTTCTGAAGTAATTTAAACACTGGCAAACACAAGCCTTCCATCCTTTCTCTAGCCATTGAAAGGAAGCAGCAGACTTAAAAATCATCTGAGTGGCGAGGACAGGGCCAGGAAGACGGGAAGGGTGGAGGAAAGGGTGAGACGATGGTGAAAGTATGTGGTTTGGCGGGTGGGACCAGGCTCGGGTGATGGGCCGAGACCTGCGGCAAGCAAGGGAGGAGTGCCCAGGCATTGCTAGGCGGCGACCTCAGCGGGCAGGAGGCTCTGGGGAGGGCGCGGGGCGGGGACAGGCGACCTGCCAGGGCCTAGTCACCCCCCACCCCTGTGGGAGGAGGGCAGGAAGGAAGGCGGCCTTTATTCTGTATTAAAATCCTCCGTTCTACCTAGGACACGGTGTACTAACCTTGCATGGTATTTGATCCTGTGCAATCAATCAGTCTGCGCTTGCCAGGCGGAGGCCTAGGGCCTCAGCAGCACATCCAGGGCGTGAACCGCTGAGTCTCCCCTTCCCCCTTGCTGGCTCTGGTCTTCCTCCCCTCTGCTTTCCCTTCCGCCCGACACCATCCCACCCTTCCATTTCCTTCCTCGGGTTTGGGCTCTAGGAGCGCAGACCCCGCCTCCCTTAATTCCAGGTTCTAGGTGACGAGGTATCACCAGTACCATCCGGAGGGTTTCAGGCCTCGGGACCCTACATGGGGTGGGTCTTCCCTAATCTTGTCTTCGCACAAACGTGATTATTGTACAGGACTTCGGGTGCTGTGTTCGGTAATCTGGAATATTTCTCCCTAAGGCTGTCTGGGTGTGTACCGCAGCTGTGGGATTTAGATAGACAGACCTGGGCTTCGGGTGTGTCTACCCTCGGCCGGTGGCCTGTCGCCTCCTGCAGGCTGTCTGTGCTTCTCGCGTCTGGAAGTGGGGACACGGTATCCGGAAACCTGGTTTAACCAAGAGCAGACTGAACCTGCTAGGGCCCATTCTCACTCGGAGCCTATCCACCTGCAAAGTGCTAACAGTAACTAGCTTGCTTCTTAGGTTGTTTGGGGACTGCGGTTAAGTCCTTCCCGAATTAGATGTGGGCTCCAACCCCACTGTTGACATATGACAGCTGACCTTGGCCTCTGTTTTCCAGTAGGAGAGGGACAGTAACAGAACCACCCTTATTGGGCCCGCGGTAAACTCAGCTGGGTGCAGGGTTTATGAGTTGCCCAATACTGGTTGCTTGTCGTCATAGTAAAACGGGACATTTTTGTGCAAGTAATTTATAAACCGTGGTGTATTCTTTAGAAACGAATACCGACAGGGCGAAATTCTGGGTTCCTGCCCCATTTTCTAAGGGAAATCCACCCCAACCCCTGTCGTGGGCACCCTGGAAGTTCCCTTCCTCAGCACTTCTGGGACCTCTAAGTAGGAGAGAGGCTGCTCTTGTGATCTGCGGATTATCTTCCTCCTTCAGTTCACATCCTTTTCTTGAGCTCTCTGTTCTGGTAGGCTTTAATCCTGGAATCCCGTCCTCAGCCTCTCTCAAAACAGATAGTAGACCACCAGGTTTATCCTGCTTTTCCTAGAGAACCCAGCTCAATCCTTCCTAAAAATGGGTTGTCACCATCCCATGTAAGTCTTCCTCTGAGTTCTCCTATCACTGATAGAGTTCTTCTCCATCAAGTAGTAACTAGCCGTCTATGCCGAATCACACTATTTGAGTTCAAAGTCTACTTGGAAGCTAGATGGCACAGGCCTGTAATGCCAGCACTAGGGAAGCCCCAACACAGGAAGCTCATGAATGCTAGACAAGGTTGTGTTACGTATTGAGTTCTAGGCCAGTGTGAGCTACATGGGGAGACCCTGTCTCAAAGCAAAACAAACAACAGAACTAAATACAAACCCAAGCCTACCTAGAGCTTTGTGGTTTTAACAGCCTTGCCAAGCCTCAGTTTAGTCATCTGGAAGATGGGAAGCAGCAGCAAATGTTTCACTGCTTTGCTAGAAGGAATTAGAGAAGAGTGCTTTTGAAGAGGTGATGTGAAGGGCGAGGTGTCAGCAGAAGAACAGTGCCTGGCACAGCACACCTAGAAGTTAGGTACTGTCCGTATGCTACTGGATGCTTTACATGAATGTCCTACCTCCCCAGGCAGAGTATGAGCTCTTTGAAATGGACATGCCTTCTTAGGTATCTCAGATATTGGTGCACATGCCTTGAGTACTCAGTAAGATGTGACCTCATCCCCTCAATCATGGCAGAATATGATATAACAACAATTTGCTTCACGTTTCTGCGGAGTAAGACTAACGGAGCTCCGCAGATGCCAGACACTTTCCCTGTTATCTCAATGAACTTGCATAAGAACATCAAATTTCTAGAGCAGATATAAGTATTTACTTGATCATTGAGAACACTGGCACTCAGGGAGGTTGACCAGACCATGGGCACTGAGAGAATTGGGATTCTAACTTGGGTTGATCTGTCTCTAAGATTTTGTTTCTTTTTTAGTTTATATTGTTTTGCCTTTCAAACCAGATTATAGCCCCTCCCCTTTGTGTGTGTGCATGTATGTGTGTGTGTTTCTAGTGACACTGCACAAACCACTGTTGGTCAGTAAAGTTGATAAGCTGTTGATTGATTTTTTTTATAAAAATCTCTAGGTACAAAGGACTCTGAAGAGGCCACAGCTTTAACTATAACCTTTGGCCCTGTGATCTATTGCACTAAGGTCTAGTTATTTTCTTGACGTGATCGGCTTCAGGGTTTAATCTCACCTGTTACTTGGAAAGCACACTCTTCTTTACTCCCCCATAAGCTGGCAATAAAGGCCCACAGGCTGGTTTTCTCTATTTTAAGGACTCTTGATTATAGAATTTTAATCTTTTTGGAATGAATCTCTCAGGGCTAGTGAATCTTTAAGGGATGAATTCATTTATAACAAAGGCAGCTGGTGTTAAAGGAAACTAGATAATGGCCTATGAGGTAGTGTGATCATCAGACAAGGGCCACACTCTGAGGGCCATACACACATGTACTGGTAAACACAGCGTCACCTCTTTGTTCAACTCCAGGTAGTAAGAAAGCCAGCACAGTTCCTGTTGTCTCCCCATTTCTGCCGTTCAGCCAGCTTTTGCTCTGCCATCCCCTGGGCCTCCTTTCTGTTATGCCTTGCTGGCCATAGCAATAGAGGGTCTGCCCTGAGCTGTCAGCTCTGCTGTCCTGGGAAGTGGGATATAGCACCTAGTGTGACCCTGTGGAGCATTTGCAGGCAGGGAATGGGTGCAGAATGAAGAGTGCATTGTTTCTAATTAGCTCTGATTAATCCTTTCGGGGGACCCAAGCAGCCTGTGTGCAGCTGCTGCCCTTAGCAAATAAACTTGCTTGTTTTACAATGGTAAGATCCTTTCCTGTATTGAACTTTTATATATAGGTTCACATATCAGGTTATGCCCATCATTGGACCAGAGAGAAAAATGATCACAATGGAATCCTCATATAGCTCATTAGCTAAACAGGAAGTCCTCTTTTGTATAGACAAGGGAAGTACCAGGTAATAAAAATATAATAAGCAAATGTACTACTGTCAGGCCAAATAGAGAATTGGTGTAACTACCCAGAACAGGAGTCTACGAGGCTAGGGAGATGAGCTGCAAATCTTGAGTCCATCAGTCTGTGACAGTGACCTTGGGCAAATCAAGCACTCTGTCTGTACCCCAGTCTTCCCAGCTGCAAGTAAGGGTGGTGTGAGTATCGCACGGGGCTTGCCATGGCATTGAGTAACATTTATGAGACAATTAACATGGTGCCTAGGCCACAATAAGTTCTCTGATATGTAATATACACATCAGTACACCTCAACACTCGATGCTGTGTGTGTAGGCTAGAGGTCGGCCCTGAGTGTCTTCTTCTGTTGCTTTCCTGTGGGGACCACATGGAGTCCTCAGAAAATGTGTGTTGTTGACTTGGGCATGGCCTTATCAAGGACTCTAGAGCCTCAGAACCATGGAAATTGGCAAAGCCTCTCTCCGGTCTGGTGTGATATTGGCGGTGTATGTGGAAACTAGCATTCTTTGCAGCTTCCTCCTCCCTGGTGACTGTGATCTGAGACTTCTCTCCTACAGAGACCTCCCACCAAAGCTAGCTAACTCCTCCTCCTCCTTCTTGGCTTGTGCATCATAAAATGCATTGAGCTTCTGCATGTTCTCCTTTAGAATGAGCACAGTCCATCCAATCTCCGCCCCCCCCCCCCCCGAAATTCATCCCCATCCCTGTTCTGTAACAGGACAGTGTCAAAAGAGTAGTTAGTATCTTATTCTGTGGTAGGGCCTACCGATATTCAGAAAGAATTACCATCGAGGGAGACCAATTGACAGTTCCACCTTACACTTACATAGACCTGCAATCCCAGCACTCTAGGAAGCTGAGGTAGGAGGATCTTGAGTTCAAAGCTAGCCTAGGCTTCACAGTGAGGCTCTATTTCTACAAACCCAAGCCAACACCAAACAAAAGAACAAGAAACGAGTTATGATTTCTCATTAGGCCAGTTCTGCAAGCATTCTCCTTCAGAAGTATTACTCTCTGCATGGCACTGTGGTGACCGTGGCACTGTGGTGATCAGTCGGTGAGCCAGACTCAGTCCCTGCTCAGGAATGCTGTTCTACAGTGAACTGGATGCTGTCAGGGTTAAGCATGTCCACAGATCCAGGATGACTCCTTGTCATTTTATAGTATATTTCCTGACTATCTGGAGAGGCTCCTAGGCCACGCCCAGCAGCAAATGAGTGGCATGTCCCTCCTTAGCTCCCATTTTCTGGTACTTTGTGAATCCAGGACTGAAGTGTGCTTGGCAGTGATCGAGCAGAAGCTTCAATGCTGAAGATAAAACACACCCCTCTCCTCTTCCTGTCAAGCAGACTCCTTTCGCTCTGAGTCTGCAGACATGTTGTTTTTCCAGACGATGGTCATTAAAGCCAGATGTGAGCCTCTTCAAACTCCCAGCCTGGCAGATCTGTGAGCACTCTTGTCATTTACAAGAGCAAGCTCTTCTAGTGAAGACCAAAGTATTTGAGCTAGCACAGTTGGATTTTTATACTATGTTTGAGTGTGTCTTAATTGGAATTCTTAAGTATTTTTCTTTTTTTCTTTTTCCTTTGAGCTTCAGTTTCACTGTGTACCTGGCTGGATTGGAATTCTCTGTGTAGACCAGGCTAGTTGCAGACTCAAGGAACTCTGCCTGCCTCTACCTCCCTGAGAGCTGGAATTAAAGGCATATGTATGTACCTTGCCCTTGCTTCTGAGGTGCATTTTAAAGTTAAGGGTCAAACTTAGCTTCCAGGCTGTAGATGAGGGCTATTGTTCTATGTAGCAGCACCCTGTATGATAGTTTTGCTTATTAATTTCATTTCCATTTCCCTCCAGCCAAAATCCACTCCTCCCTTGCAGCCAGTTACTTCCTCTAAGCAAATTTCTGATCAGATTTCTCTCTTTTTTGTAAAGCTTCAACAACCTCCTACTGCTGTCTTTAGTCTCCTCCAGCACATGGTTCAGTATCTCCCGCTGACATCTATGGCTAGTCAAATTCTATCTATTCCTGTATTCTGGTCACGAGGCCTCATTTATTACAAACCTGTCACGTGTGAACTACAGTGTTAGGACCTGGGGGTCTGCAGATAAATCTTTTGTTTGTTTTGTTTTGTTTTTGTGACAAGGTCTCCTTAGGTAGTTCTGACTATCCTGGAACTTGCTATGTAGACCAGGCTGGCCTTTAGGTGACATTTCTGCTAAGATTATAAGCTTGTAAAACCTGGATACAAATTAGGTTCTTATTGTGGAATAACTTATATGCTTATAGTGGAAGTCATCATTTGAGCAAAAGACAGAAACAAAATGTGCTCTATGGTAGAAGAAGGAGTTTCTACTGTCTACGTAGAACAAACTTCATGGTTAACCAAGCCCAGTGACTCTTGGCATGAGCATCCCTCTTATTCTCTTCTGAGTAACCTTTCTGTCTCAAACTGGTCAGAAGGATCATCCCTCGATTCCACTTAGATCCTATGATCCATGAAGCTGTTGCCGTAAGATTTGTCTATATGGGCCAGGCCTGTTACAGCACGTCCTGATTGTAACAGTGTCCCAGCGTGGCCTGCTAGTGTGTATCCAGCATATTCATAGCTCCTTTCATTCTCAGCCTCGGTGGCTCTGCAAGTCCTCCTAGGCCACAGGGGACGGAAGAAGGTGGAGGTGTCTTTGGAACTCTGTCTAAGGAAACACAAAGGAAGTCAACTTAGGGACCAAACTCTGGGTCTTTGGGCCTGCCTATTTCCAGTTCATTTCTGGAGTCCTTTTACAGTTTGGAGCCCTGTCTTTTGGCCACTTGGGCCAGCTTCTCATTTACCTTGCTTAAGCTTGACAGTCGAGTACCAGGCATGCCCTTTCAGCTGTCTGCAGATGTTGAACCACGAACATTTCAAATACATTTCCTTTCCCATCAACTCATAAGGCATTAGAAAGTAGCACAAAGAAGGACCTTCTGGAGTAAATTAATCTACACATGCGAGGAACAGTTAATGGACTGTATTGGCCATGGCTTGCTAGGCTCCCTGAATGCACTGTCCCTTGCTAATGATGCCCCATGGCTCTTCCTAACCCTTCAATAAGAGAGCCATCACCAGATATGGCCCTTAACCTGGGCCCAACCATCTGCCAAAGTTAACCTCCCTTCTTTATAGCCTGCCCAGAGTCTGTGCTATAATGTTATTAGCTGCAGGAAACTAAGTTGGGGAGAAGAAGCATCTGCCCTAACCAGTAACCTTTTGCCACATGCAAAGAATCTCAGACTTTATCTTCCAGCCATGAGGATGAGGGTAGGGCAGGAAAGGAACACCATTTCCATAGGGGCTATAATAAAATGAGGTCTGTCAAAAGCTGTGGAGGAGAGACTGAGAAGCCAGGTCAGGAAGGATAGTCAGAGCTTGCCGTCCTCGACAGTCCTTTGGCCTTGCCGCCACAGGTGGTAGATAAGAATTTAAGACTGGGTTTCTGGTCTGCACAACTAAAGCCCACAGACTTGTGGGACTGTGGATTATGGGGGTCTCTGTCTGGGCTTCCCAACAAATTTCCACAAGTGTCCTCATGTAAATAGGTGGCTGTTCTTTCTGATCTCATCCCGAGGTGGTCACAGAAAAAAATGGCTGTTTAATGCCACTGGAAGTCCAGCATTTTCAAGAGCCTGGCTGGGCAGTAAAAGAGCCAGAGGACATGGCCGATCCTGAAGAATATCTCGATTTGTCTGTGGAAGGAGATGTCTTCAGACGGGGCTTAATATGAGGATGGGGAGGCTAGCATCTTGCCACACTGCACCCTGAAACTGGTACAGCCCAGCACATGGGTAGATGCTACCTTAGCTCTGCTCGGGCTGGAGCCTGACAGTCTCAGATACATTCTCAGCTCAGCCTGTAATTGTCAGTGTGAGGTCAGACCAGGCGTGATCTCTACCAATCTGTAAAGTGCCTCTCTGACTTTTAGGAGGTGACAGAAGATGCAATTAATTCATATTTGTCAACTGCTCAGAAGTCCCCAAACAAAAACCACTGTGTGAGTTTAGGGTTGCTCACACAGAGTGAGGCCTAGGCTGGTGAAGCTCTGTGATGGCTGAGTGGGCATGCTGATGTCATGATGTCACATGAAGATACTCATCTTCCTGCTTCTTCCCTGGAAATATCACTTAGGGAAAAATTTAAATATACATCTATACAGAAAATAAAACAATGAACAGCATGATAGCATGTTACCTTTCAACCCAAAATGAACAAATATCAACACTTTCACAATTAACATTTTACTAGAATTAGAGAGAGAGAGAGAGAGAGAGAGAGAGAAAGAAAGAAAGAAAGAGAAAGAGAGAAGTGAGCAAGCTGTGGATTAAACCCAATGCCAGGTGATTGTTGGACAAAGGTTCTGTTCTATCTACCTTTGGCCCTTAAAACAGTCCACCAATGTATTTTGGACTTCCAGCAAATCTTTTTATGATTAAATTTCAATTCTCTGTGTGTGTGTGTGTGCATGTGTGTGGGCGACTGTGCATGTGCACATGCAAAACACACCACATGTACCGCTGCCTGCAGAGAAGAGAGTGTAGGAGGCCTTGGAGCTAGAGGTAGAGGGGTTTGTGGGTTGACCAGTGTGTGAGCAGCCAACTCTGGTTCTCTGGAGAACAGCAAGCACCCTAATGGCTGAACCATTTCTCCAGACCGACCCTTGTTTGCTTTGAAAGACAGGAGTTAAATATTTGCATATTCTCACCGTACTCCACCCAGCTGCCCACCTGGCCTGTCCACCAGCCTCTCACCCAGGGTGACCGCTGTCATAGATGTGTGTCCTCTATGTCTACCTTCCATGTGTGTAATAAGACTATGTGAGTAGACGGCATGGGGTTGGTTACGGGGTTGGAACCAGTCAGGGCTGGAGACTACTTTTAATTGTGCTCTCTGGTCTCTGTGAGCCTCAGTCTCTCCGTCTTTACTCCTCTTCTACTGGGGTAGTAGTTTTTTGACCTATAACATTGCTGTTTCTCTTGGAGATGTAGGCAAATTGCTGGGCTCAATAAATGATAGCAAATACCACTGGTCATTCCTCCCTCTCTTCCTCTCTTCCCCCCTCTTCCCCTCTCCCCTCCCCTCTCATCCTCTTCCCCTCCCTCCTCTCCCTCTTTCTCCCTTCCTTCTCTCCCCCTCCTTTCTTCCTCTCTCTCTCCCCCTGCCCCTTTCCCCACCCCTTCCCCTTCCCTCTCCCTTTCTCCTCCCTCTCCTTTCGCCCTCCTTTCCCTCCTCCTCTCTAGAAAGTTCCTGGAGAACAAGGACCCAGTCTGTAGCCTATATCCCTTTTTGCCATACCTGGAGTCCCCAGGTCACCGCAAGGTTGACTGGCCGCTCCTTATGGATGTCTGGATGCTTTTGTACGTCTGTTCAGGCTCCCCTGGGATTAGCGCAGAAACCAATTCTGCTCTGGGGACAGCCCAGAACTGAGTCTAGAAAGGAGTGATTGCCCTAAGAAGTTTGGAGTTTTTCTCCCAGGTCCTGCTTCTTTTCAGGCTTCAGGTGAGCAGTGTAATGGCGTGGGAGACAGACTCAGAGCCACACGGTTTGTTGACACTTTTTCTAGGCTCCAGCACGGTTCCCTTTGCTTTAGCTACGCCATCGAGCGTTCTGGTGCCTTTCTGCAAGATCCAGCTCTAACCTAGAGATCGACCGCGGTGAACCTCCAGGGCACAGTTGTCCGTCTCTGGCAAGGGACAGTAGGGGGCGCCAAACCCGCACAGTTGGCCGGCGGACCCTGCCTGGCAGTGCCTGAGCCCAGAGCCATCCCCCGCCCCCCCCCCCCTTCCCTGGTAACTGGAGATTTCTTGCAGATTCCCACAGTTGCACAGTAGAGAGGACTCTTTGTGAAAATAACAAACAGCCCCCTTGCCCCAGGCCGTCACCCCACAGACAGAACCATCGTGCAATCTTCCTGTTAGTTCTTAAAGTAGGGCCAGAGCCTAGGACCGCAGGGATGATGCTCTAGAGCTGAGGAGTGCTTGTTCAAGTCCCGCAGCTGTTTCAAAGGCTTTGCAATGTTTTCATTTGTGCACAAGCTGGGAATAGCTGCGGAGTTTTGACCCTTAGCCAAAGGACATTTCTGAAACTCTACCTCCCCAGTAGTCGACACACAAATCTAGCTATCCTACATTTACTTAGTATTTTAATACCCATGCTTGTAAAAGCTACACAAAGATGCCAACTATCCAAATGTAACGTTAGTATTTTTGAAAATTATATATTAAGATAAAGAATTAACATGGGGCCGAGGAGATGCCTCAGCCTTTAGGAGCCAGTACTGCTCCTGCACAAGGGGCAGCTCCCAGCTGCCTGCAACTTCAGCTTCGGACTTACCTGAATCCTTGGGTTGCTCAGCACCTGCTCTCATGTGCACACGCCTATCCCACTTTGCACATAGTGTAAACACATCTTAATTCTCATCAACATAGAGGCACTCTCTGAGGCCTCCCCCCTGCACCCCGTTCCCTCACTCCCTCCCCTACAACTTTGTCTTAGGTGTCTGCACAGGCCAGAGGACTACTCTGCTTCTAGTTCTCCCACGTCTCAGAGAGACACAGCTGAGATTTGACTGGGGTCTTTATGACTCTCTTTGACAGAGTTGTGAAGTAGCCATCCATTTACATACAGTGTTGGCAGCAACTGTGTGTTTGGACAGATGCTGACGGTACATCTTTATGGGGTACATTTGATCTCTCAGGATATTTATGTTTCTTATGATTTTTTTGTGATAAGGAATTAAAAATCTCTTTAACTACTTTGAATTATACAATAGAATACTGCTATGAATATTGCCCTGTGTAATAAAATACGGGTACCTTTTCCTCCTGTCTGGCTGACACTTTGTATCCACTAGCCAGTCTTTTTATCACCCCCCCTTCCCTTAACCCCCAGTTCCTGGGTCCCTTCCCTACCTCTGGACCACTATTCTACTTTCTACTTCTGTGAGCATTTTTAGCTGAGTGTTTGTCGTTCTGTAGTTGGCTTAGTTCACTGAATATTATGATCCTCAGGTCCATCTGTGTCGACCACATGATGGCCAGATTCCTTTTTACAGCTGAATAGTTATCCCAGCCTATGTATGATGCAAATGCATGCTTGTGGGAAAAAGGAGGAAGATGCTACACATTTATGAGAAATGTCCATTCTGATAATTTCCTATATGTCTGTCCGTCTATCTATCTATCTATCTATCTATCTATCTATCTATCTATCTATCTATCATCTATCTATCATCTATCTATCTATCATCTATCTATCTATCTATCATCTATCTATCTATCTATCTATCATCTATCTATCATCTATCTATCTATCTATCATCTATCTATCATCTATCATCTATCATCTATCTATCATCTATCTATCATCTATCATCTATCTATCTATCATCTATCTATCATCTATCTATCTATCATCTATCTATCATCTATCTATCTATCTATCTATCTATCTATCTATCTATCTATCTATCTATCTATCTATCTATCTATCTATCTATCTGGTGGTACTGTGGTTGAACCCAGGGTCTTGTGCGGCTAGGCAAGCATTCTAACAAAGAGCTGTATTGCTGCTTGGATTGATTGATTATTAATTGTTACTGTTTCTAAGTTTTTGCATGTTCTGATATTAACCCTTTGTTGTCTGGATAGTTCCCAGAGCTCCATTCTGTAAGTCACCTCTTCTGTGCATAAACATTCACTGTGACATCATCCCATTTGTCTAGTTTTGGTTTGATGCCTGTGCTTAACAAAAAAATACTTGCTCATACTACTACCATACGCCATTGGCCCTGGTTTTTTTTTTTGGGGGGGGTTACATTTAAGCCTGACTCCATTTTGAGCTACTCTTTATTGTGCTGGGGGTTAAACCCAGGACTTTGCACATACTAGGCAAACATTTTACCACTGAGCTACATCCCCAACCTATTAATTAGATTTTTGAGACAGGTGGTGGTGACACACATCTTTAATCCTAGCCTGTTCTACAGAGCAAGCTCCAGGACAGCCAGGGGCTACACAGAGAAACCCTGTCTCAAAAAAAAAAAATCAATCAATCAAGTAACCAACCAACAAAAAACCGAAGGGTATGTCCTTGGCACCTTTGTTAGAAATTATTTGGCTGTGTGTGCTTTATCTCTAGGTTCTTCCTACAGTCCGTATGTACTGGGTGGTTTTGTGTGCCATCTTGACACAAGTTAGAATTATCACAGAGAAAGGAGCCTCCCTTGAGGAAATGCCTCCATGAGATCCAGCTGTAAGGCATTTTCTCAATTAGTGATCAAGGGCGGGAGGGCCCATTGTGTGTGGTGCCATCCCTGGGTTGGTAGTCCTGGGTTCTATAAGAAAGAGAGCTGAGCAAGCCAGGGGGAGCAATCCAGTCAGTAACATTCCTCCATGGCCTCTGCATCAGCTCCTGCTTCCTGACCTGCTTGAGTTCCAGTCCTGACTTCCTTTGGTGATGAACAGCAATGTGAAAGTGTAAGCTGAATAAACCCTTTCCTCCCCAGCTTGCTTCTTGGTCATGATGTTTTGTGCAGGAATAGAAACCCTGACTAACACCATCCGTCTGTCACCATTTCTGTATGCCAGTCTCAGGCTATTTAGATTACTGTAGCTTAGGAATATGTTTTGGAGTCATGTCATAGAGGTCCTCTAGCTGTATTCTTTTTGCTTAAGATCATTCTTTTAAACTATTTTCCTTTTTTTTTTTCCCACTGAGAATGTGAGTCAAAAAATGTCCCTGGCAAGAATTCGAGGGTTTGGATGAAGCTCATTGAGGGAGTTAGAAGAGTGGCTCCCAAGCCCATTTTGTCCCCCCTGTCAGCAGCAAGCAGCACTGAATGTGACCTCATGACAGGTATGTGTGCATTTAATGTAGTTTTGTGCCTTTGTTACAGCAGCAGTGTGTCGTGCTCTTTGTAAAGCATGTGTTTAAGTGTTAATTACAGATGTGGTAAGGACAGTGCCAGTGTACTTTGTTATGCCTTGTTTTATCACTGTCATTAACGAATATCTCAAGGACAAGTTACACTTTGGATTAGATTTCTCATTCCCAATAGAGAAAGCTGTATTTCAAACCGAGGTGGTAACTTACATACTTCCTGTTAACTTGTGAGACCTGAGTACTTGTCATCATTGTCCCCTGTAATGTGATGGATTAAAGACTTGCCAGACCTCCCTTCTTCTCATATGCAGGCCTGAGTACTTGTCATCATTGTCTCTTGTAATGTGACAGATTAAAGACTCGAAGGACCTCCCTTCCTCTCATATGCCTTGTCTCACATAATGACTACTCAACCAGGATTTTTTTTAAAGATAACAGCCTTTGTACTTCTTGCACATTTCGAGATGTTGAGAACTTGAGAACTGGATCTTGGGTAGATCCACTTACTCAGGTTATCTGTCAGGGTCATCTCTCACTGGAGAGAAAAGCAGGGCTGAGGCTGCTACCTTCCCCAGAGTCCCTCATGACCCTGATGGTTTGTGAATGATGACAGTGGGACAGGGTGAAGCTGTGGAGACCACTACTTATAGACCATTCCCTACTTTTGGTTTAAAATTTTTATTATTAAAAGTTTTTAGTTGGCTGGGTGGTGGTGGCACACTTGGGAGGCAGAGGCAGGCAGATTTCTGAGTTCGAGGCCAGCCTGGTCTACAGAGTGAGTTCCAGGACAGCCAGGGCTACACAGAGAAACCCTGTCTCGAAAAACCAAAAAAAAAAAAAGAAAAAGAAAAAGTTTTTAGTTTGTTGAGCATAGTGACATTGCCTTTAATTCTAGCACTTGGGAGGCAGAGGTAGGCAGATCTCTGAGTTTGGTTTGAGGCCAGTCAGGATACAGCAGTGTATACAGCAACTGAATCCAGGCCAGCCAGAGATACACAGTTGAGATACTATTTCCAGATTTAGTTATTTTACAAAGCAATAGGTTTCATTGTGACAATTTCATACATGTGTACCATTGTACTGTGCTCATGTGCACCCTCTGCTCTCTTTTGCAAGCTTTTCCCTCTCAGTGGTCCCATTAGCCCCTCTCACATAGGCTTCTTCTGATTTTATGTCATGTGTGCGTGCATGTGTGTGTGTGTATGTGTGTGTGTGTGGTGTGTGTGTGTGTGTATGTGTGTGTATGTGTGTAGGTTAAGTACTTTATCCACCGAGCCATCTTTTTAAAAAAAGATTTATTTATTTAATATATATGAGTATTATGTATATGTACACTGTTGCTCTCTTCAGACACACCAGAAGAGGGCATCATGTGGGTGCTTGCTGGGAATTGAACTCAGGACCTCAGGAAGAGCAGTCAGTACTCTTAACCTCTGAGCCATCTCTCCAGCCCCCACACTGAGCTGTTTAATATTCTGGCCCTGATATGCATTTCCTTGATACTTAAGGTTATTGGACATTTTAAAATATGTTTATTGTCTGTCTGTACTTATCTATTGAGAGCTGTCTTGTTTATTTCATTATTCCATTTGTTGGTTAGGTTGGTTTTATGGTATTTAGTTTTTGAGTTGTTTATATATTCTAGCTACTAGTTCTCTATAAGATACTGTGTTGGCTAGTTTTTTGTGAACTTGACACAAGCTAGAGTTGTCTTAGAGGAAGGAGTCTCAGTTGAGAGAGTGCCTCCATAAGACTGGCCTGTAGATGATCGATGTGG